CCGTCACGACGCGCCGACTGGAGTGCGGATGCCTGGCGACTGGGCGTCGGGTCCCTTGCCTTTCTCGCTTGAAGTCGTGTTCCTAGGTGCGAGGAGTGTCACAGTGTCGCATTATCGTACGGATGGCGCGACCAAGAAATGTCCGACCGCTGGTGAGCTCGTCGCAGTGTGCCTTCGCCGCACGGGGCTGGAATTCCCCGTGCTCCAGGAGGGCAGGGCGTGCAGGTTGCGGGGGCCGAAGCCGAGGGCGACGGGCCCTGGCGCGCTGCCGCGCCTCGGGGCGGTTTAGGCAGGGTGCTCGAGTCCGCGCTCGGAACTGTCATCGTTCAAACTTGTGACCAAGTCGCGTCAGGAAGCGGCCTGAGATGACCTTCCGAATCCTGTGTGGGCTGATTGCAACCGCTCGCATGGCGCCTGGGTGCTGTCATGCAATGGGATCGTGGTCTGGGCGTGCTGGGCGAATGGGGCGCGTTGCGCGGGTCGCGAAGATGTCCAGCGCGACCATTGAGCCACGAGCATGGAGGTGTATCCGTTTTACGCGGGTGAGGGCGCCATGGCGATGGGGACGTGGTGTCCTGGAGGCGAGGGGCGTGCCACTTTTTGGCCCGATGTCGTCGACGTCGCTGCCGGTGAGGGTGCGGCCGCAGGCGCGGACGGTGGGCCCGCGGCAGGGGCGGCAGCAGGGGATTGCATTCTCAAGTGTGCGCGGGCACGTCCTGGAGACGAACTGTCGTCATCTCGGTGACATGGGGCCTGTTGCGTCCATGGGCGTTCCTGGATGCAAGGCAGGCTGGTGGACGATGGCCGAGCGCGCTCGTCCAGCGTCTGTCTGCAGACGTCGCAGGCGTCTCGTCTGTCCGATCTGAGCGTTCGGTGCCGTTTCCGCGTGTTACCTCCCTGCAGTTCGGTTTCAAGTTAACATGGGGTGCGACCGTGCTGGGCGGTGTGCGGCTTTTCACGTCAATGCGCGTGTCATCTTCGGCAGTTTCGTTTGCGTGTGTTTTTTGGCCGCGCAGGTTCATCCATGATTGCCTGTAGGCTGCCAAGCTTGAGTTCGCAGCTAGCTCGTAAAGATAGGCTCCGCGCGCTCGTGCCCAAGTGGCGTGAGATTCGTCGCGTGAGTTTTGAAAGCCCGCGTATCCACACCAACTCGTCCAGAAACGATGCCCGGGGAAGTTGTCGGGGGGAGGGATGCAGATAAGCATCTACTGGGGCAGAGGGGCCATGTCTGGTGATTTTGGGAACCTCTTGGGCAAATCTTGGAGTTTATTGTTTGTTTTGTTGACTTTTTGGGGCTTCTTCCTTTTTTGTTGTTAATAGTTCTTCTGGGGCCATCGTGGAGGCCGTCGATAACAAAGAGGCAACGTTAAGTATGATCCCCGTGCCCGCACCCGAAACATCCAATTTTGGATCCCTCCCAGGATGCTCATGGGGCGTTATTGGGCGCGCCTCTGGGCTCTCTTGAGGCTGTCTGAGAGCACTGATTGCGCCTTTGTGGGGTTCTCCTGGACGATCTTCAGGCTTCCTGAGGCGTAGGAAGTACATCGGAAACGACCAACGAGAAGGCGGACATCACTCACCAGCTCATCGCCTCGACTGATTTGGACATGTCGGGGGCGATCTTTGGTGGCTCCGAAGCCAGTTGGGGCTGAGAGGCATGCTGCAGGCCATTTGGACCGTCTCGTTCCATTTGAGGTCTGTGTTCCATCTTGGGCCCAAGCGGGCCTTTTGATGTTTTGGGGAACCCTGGTCCCGACCCCAGGGGCAGGGGTAGAGGAGGTGGGGGGGGACACGTTTCCGACGGGGAAAATTGGGGAAAACTATCTCTTGGAACCGCCTTTGCCATGGAAGCTGGTTGGACTTCGTCGACGCCGAGATATTGGCGCATGTGGCGGTCTCTCGTTTTAGCGGCGTGGCGTGCATCGGGGGGGCCCAGGTGGGTCTTGCTGGGGGCCCGCGTCATGCCTGGGGAGTCCGGGGGCGTGGCTCGGGCGGGATGGCCCGGGGCCCAGGGCCAGCGTTCCCGTGTGCGCGGGCGCCCGATGCACCAGACGCAAAAGTCGACGCCAGCGGCGGGTTTCAGTCTTCGGCTGGAATTGCTTCAGGAAGCTGCCAGCGCCGTCTTGATTCACTTGCTTGTCTACATATCTTGTCACTTCTTCTCTTTTTTTTTTTGTTTTTGTTTTTATCTCTCTCTCTCTCTCTTTCGCATGTCTTGTGCAATTTTGCACCACTTCCCCTACTCCGGGTCGCTGCTGCGGGGGACATGGCAATTTTTGTGATGTCATGTTTACTTGCTCGCTTGCGTATGTGCGCAATTTCATGTAGACATGTGGCATGTTTGCTTGCTTGCCAGCGTGTGTCTGAGGGATTACAACGCCGAGCGCCTGTGTTCTTAGACGCATGCATTTGCGCATACATAGAATCGTGACGGCGCTTTTCAATGAATAGATTTTGGCAAAGCTTTGGCATCAGAGTGTGCAGGACAGTGTAGATATGGTATGGCATCGGCATTGGTAATGTCTGTGAGAACGCTGACGTCGTCATTTACATCAACTTCAACACTATGGGTGCCAGTATCTCAGACAACCATTCGAATGCACTTTGGAATACCATTCGCATCAGCATTGCTAAGACCTGCCTTCAACAACGCACCAGCACCACTCGCATCAGCACATTCACCAGCATCGCCTGGATCAGTACGAGCATCCACCAACAGCATGCCAACGTTTACTGTTCGCAATCTTTTCAATTCGTTGTAGCAGCTTCCGAAATCGGGAGAGGACCTAGGGCCATCCTGGAAAGAGATCGTCCAGAATTCTTGACACGTTTGCGCCCGAGTTCGCTGCCCATCCGCTGCCAGGAGGATCCGATGCCATGTTTGCCGCGTGAAATCGGTTGAGTGCTGTGATGCTGTCTTCTGGTGCTGTTTGCGCGCACCGCTTGGACCGTGCGTTGCTTGACGCGTGGGACGCACGGCTTACGCGCAGGATGGCGTACTGTGCCTTCACGTGGTCCATTACTGGCAATGCTGCTCCCTCCCTGTCTCTTCCGTTCTGTTAGCTAATTCGCTGTCTCTCGGCATTCTTCCCCATATCCAAAGGATGGGGTTCTTGCTATTCCCCATATCCAAAGGATGGGGTCGTTGTTAGTTATTCTCTGACCTCGCCGGACCCCTTAACTTATCATCATCCCTCCCCTCCCTCCTCCCTCTCTGCACTAGACGATGATGATGAGTGTCATGATGATGAGCATGGTATGGTGAGAGTATGATGTGAGTCTGATGGTGATTGTGAATGATGGATGAGTATGAGTATGAGTATGATGATGATGCTGCTGCTGCTGTTGATGCTGATGCTGATGCTGGTGCTGATGCTGATGCTGCTGCTGATGATGCTGCTGCTGCTGCTGCTGATGATGATGATGATGATGATGATGATGATGATGATGACGATGTTGATAGCGGAGCAAACTCTGAGGATGTCTCGAGCGGTTTGCTGGTTTTAGCACTCCCAAGGGGGGGCCGCCGGGGGTATCTCACGGCCTCCGTTCGCGCCGAAATGGCGGGGATGTCTCGAGTGGTTTGCCTGTTTTGGTCGCGAACATCCTTCGTTGTCGGAGCAAATTCTGAGGATGTCTTGTGCGAGGCGCCTCCTACGGGGGGGCCGCCAGGGGTATCTCACGCCCTCCGTTCGCGCCCAGATTGCGGAGATGTCTCAGGCGGTTCGCCTGTTTTGGTCGCGAACATCTTTCGTTTTCTGAGCAGATTCTGAGGATGTCTCGTGCGAGGCGCTGGTTATCGCACCCCAGGGGGCTCAGATTTTGACGATGTCTCGAGCGGTGTGCCTGTTTTGGTGGCCAGACTCGTGGGCACATATTCTCCCCAGGATACCACAGGAGGCTCCAGCAGGCTCCAGGAGGCCCCAGGAGGCCACAAGAGGTCCCAGGAGGCATCAGGAGGCCACAGGAAGACTCGAGAGGCCACAGGATGTCCCAAGAGGCTCCAGGAGGCCCCAGGAAGCTCCAGGGGGCCTCAGGAAGCCACAGGAGACCCCAGGAGGCCACAAGAAGCGCCAGGAGGCCCCAGAAGGCAACAGGAGGCCCCGAGAGGCCCAAGGAGCAGGAGGCCTCAGAAGGCAACAGGAGTGGCTCCAATCCCATGTGTTTTACGTATGTTCCTATATATTGGGCCTCACTTGGAGGACAAATCCTCGATGTGCGTATGTGTCTATATATTGTCCTTCTCCTGTGTATGCAATCCTAAATGTTTAACGTATGCTCCTAAATATTATGCCTCCCCTGGGGCACGAGTCCTTGGTGTTTTACGTGTGTTCCTATATATTGCCTTTCTCCTGTGGCTTCAGCCCGCAATGCTTTGTGTACGTCTTCTTCCTATAGATCGGGCCTCTCCTGGGGCACGAATCCTCCCCAGGAGGTCCCAGGAGACACCAGGGGGCCACGCGCGGCTCCGGGAGGCCTCAGGGGGTCCACTCGAAGCCCCAGGAGGCCCCAGGAGGCCCCGGGAGGCTCCTGGAGGCCCCGGGAAGGCCCAGGAGGCTTCAGGAGGCCCCAGGAGGCCCAGGAGGCTCCAGGAGGCTCCAGGAGGCTACGCGAGGCTCCAGGAGGCCTCAGGAGGCCACTCGAAGCCCCAAGAGGCCCCAGGATGCCCCAAAAGGCTCCTGGAGGCCCCGGGAAGGCCCAGGAGGTCTCTGGAGGCCCCAGGAGGCCCCAGGCTCATGCGCAGAGACGCGCTCGTATTACTGAGACTCATTCACACTCCAATTCATTCGCAGTTAGATTCATGACCACATCGTCACAATTCAAGCCCGCTCATATTCGAAAACTCCTGCGCCTAGACACTCACGGCGGACAGGTCCATGCGAATAGGTGCACGCATGGGGAGCCCCACGCAGTGAAGAATTCTGCAGCCGCGCGCTTTTTTCCAAGCGCGGAAAGCACCTGCCCCCTTGTTTTTTGTTTCCCAGGAGCGGGTGCGTCTCATGGCGCCCAGCGGCGGAGCTCTCGCGGCGCTGCTTCGGGATGCTGGGAGCGCAGGCGCGCTCGGGGTGGTACGCGCCGGCGACACCGTGCAAACAGGACAGCCTGCCCCAGTGCGCGGGAGGCTCGCGTCGTGTCGACCCGCGTCGACCCCACCGCCGCCGCCAGCTTTCGACTTTGAATGCCGCTGGCGACCCAGAATCGGTCGCGGTTGAACGATCTGACGTTTGGACGACCAATCGTGCGAGGCTGAACGGTCCCCGCGGTGTCAGGAACCAACGACAGGGTCGACACGATGCGAACCTGTCGTAGGCTTGCGCGGGTGTGGCATGCGGGAGGAGATCAGGAGGTGGAGTCGGAGCAGGGGGCAGCCCTACGAAGGTCGCCCGCATGGGGGTGCCCAGTGCGCGCCTTTTTGGGCCGCGAGAGGCGGACGGGGCAGGGAGCCGCAAGCTGACGCCAGGCTGCGCTGCACGCGGGGTGGCGGCGGCGGGGCCGACCAGCTTCGACGAGCCCCAGGCCGGGATGCCCCCACCCGCGCTCGCCCGCTTTCGCGAGGCGTCGTTGCACGTCTTACGTCGTCGTCGTCGTCGTCGTCGTCGTCGTTGTTCTTGGGGCTCTCTTGTGGGCCCTCTTGGGGCTGTCTCGGAGGCAGTCGAGCAACCCTTGTCAGAATTGGACTAATGAGGCCGGCAAAATGACCTCTCTCAACCAGCGGCTGCGTGCCGAGCGGGATCCTCTGGCGCTCGGGGCGGCCAGGCGGTGCGCGTCCCGAGTTGTCCTGCCTCGTTTCTGTCCTCCTTCCCCGTCCTCTGCGCTTCTCTCCGCAGTCCACCTCGTCCTCCACCTCGGCCTTGTCGTCGGCCACCTCTTCCTCCATCTCCTGGTCCCGGCCCTCCTCTCCCGCTTCCCAACCCTGCTCTCTACCCTCCCCCTCTTCCTCCCGCTTCCTCCCTTCCTCGTCCCCCTTCTCTCCCTTCTCCCTCCCTTCCGTCTTCAATCATTCAGTACACAATACATTCCACAATGTTCATACTGCTCTCCTCTCACCCTGGAATCTGTGCGGCAGATGCTCTGCCCCCTTCCGCGTATCGCCTTTTACACAGGATGCCAGCCTTTCCTGCAGTATTGTTTCTAATTACTTCCTCTTGCTGTGGAACTGCAGATAATGTAATTTTTCCCGTTTCGCTGTTTGTAGCCTTGTAGATAGGCCATCGACCCGATGAGGGGCGATCCACACAACAAAAAAAACATGCCAGCGAGCTGGTGCTCTGCGCGTGCGTCTCTCCGCCCCGGACGCCTCCGGGCCGCTCCGAGGGGGGCGCCCTCGCCTCTGCGCCCGCCGCACTCCCTGCCCCCCCTGCCCTTATTGCGCATGACTGCAGCCCTCCCCCCGCCCTTTTGGACGCCCGAAATGGGTACTTTATTAGTGAATTGAATTGGTTTTAGGGTTTTAACAAATGGTCGCAGCCACGCAGAGGGCGTGCGTGGCGACGCCCCAAATGCGCGGTCTCCAGCACTTCTACGTGGCGGCGCCCCCGCAGGCACGCAGAGGGCACGCGTGGCGACGGGGGCGTCGCCACGCAGAGCTTCTAAGGACCAAACATTTTGAAAACCAATTATTTCCACTACTAAAGTACTGAAAGAATGGGTACAATGCCCAACAACAATTCCTGTTCATTTTCAACAGGATTCGCTGTCCACGCCGCCGCGGCCTGTGTCCGTTCGAGACAGAAGGCCGCCTGCCCAACAGCGGCCGCTGTTGGCTTGGGGCAACATTTGTTGTTGGGCATAGTGCCCATTCTTTCCGTGCCCATCTCGGGTGTCCAAAACCCTCGAGTCTGTGCGGAAGATGCTCCGCTCCCCTCTGCGGGCGCCCCTGCGGGTGCTGCAGGCGTCCTCGTCGACGAACACGTCGTCACCAACGACGAGGACGACAACGAAAACTGACCAGAAGTCACATTAGAATAGGAAACCATGCAGACGACGCCGTCGACCCTCGGACACTTCTGGGGGCCGCCCGGGCCTCCGAGGCCTCTGCTGGCCTATTCTGCTGCTGCCGTCGTCGTCGTCGTCGTCGTCGTCGTCGTCGTCGTCGTCGTCGTCGTCGTCGTTCTCGTCGCCGTCGTCGTCGTCGTCGTCGTCGTCCTCCTCCTCTGCCTCCTCGCTCCCTCCCTCCCCCTTCCAAGGCGTGGAGGTCAAATGCGACACCCACTTCCGTGCGACGACAACTGGTCGGCGTAATGGGAAGGGAGGGGAGGAATGGGGCAGGATGTCAGCTGTGGCGCGAGCGCTCCCAGCTTGACATGGATGCTACTCTCCTGCCTCCCCCAGCGGCGTGCGGGAGATCTCCCGCCCCTCCCGGTATATTTTCGAAGTTCTTCTGCACAGTCGGAGCGTTTTCGGTGTTCCAAAAGGAAGCTCACGCTGCAGCGCGCGTCTTATTCTAGCCCCGGCCCCTCGTTCCCGTCGTTGAGAACGGGACTCTTGCCCCAGTTCGGGCGCTTTCTCTGGATCCGAGTCCTTCCTCGTCTCTGGCTCCCCGTTCCTTTCCATCCTCCGCCTTCCCCTGGCCCTCCTGCTCCTCCTGTTTCTCCCGCTCCTCCCGCTCCTCCGACTCCTGCTCCTGCTCCTGCTGTTCCTCCTCGTACTCCCTCCTCCTCCTCCTCCTCCTCCTTCTCCTGCCTTCCTCCTCCTGCTTTCCCAACCAGCTCATGCGCCATCTCCTCATCTGCTGTGCACAGCCACCCTTGTCCGATTGCGCAGAACAAGAGGGTGTCCCTTTGGGGGCTCCAGGTCCGCTATGGACACCCGTCGGCGGGCAGAGAAGCAGATCAGCGCAACGGGCAGGGATTGGTGGGAGGGGTACGATGTCAGGCATGGCGCGAGCGCTCCTGCCTTGCCTCTCCTCTCTCTCTCTCTCTCTTTCTCTCCCCCCCTCTCCCCCCATTCCCCCTCCTCCCCCTTCCCCTTCCCCCTTCTCTGGTGTGTGAGCTTCGAGATAATCTCAGGCCCCCCCTCCCCCTTGGAAGCCTTCCTTGGATTCTGCGCTCTTGGGGAAACGCTGGTGCTGGCCAGACCGATCTGGGGCCAAGGAGCAGTGTGGCGATCTGTGTGGCGATCTGTGTCCACGTTGGTCGTCGGAATATGTATGCTTTGGAGCCTCAAATCCCAGTGTGCTGTAACTGCCGCTTTTCTTGAATGATCGAAAGGCCATCTTGTCATCCTCCTCTCTCGGGGGTGGGCCGAAACCAAGCATGCTTTATGCCAGTACCTTCCCATTCCATAGTTCTACCTCTCTCGCACGACCCACGTGCAAAGCGGGAAGTTGGCGCACTCCTCCACTTTGACTCGATCCCATCCTTCTGGGCGACAGTAGCTTGAGCCTGAACCGCAGTCGTGCTTTTTCCACTGCGCTGCCCCTGGAGTTCTCGACCCCTTGTAGTGATTGATCTCGCGTGCCAGACATGTGCTTGAAGCCACAGGGCCCCAGACTGCCCCTCGATGCCGAAAGCGGGGGAAAACGATCGCGTCGATTTTCTTGGCGCTGGAGGCCTCCCTCGAATCGACCCCTGGACCTCTGCAGCGGTGACGAGGACGACCCCGCCCCCAAGACCGCCCAGGAGTGCAGATGTCTGTGAGGCGGTCCGGCCTCGACCCGCATCGCTCCGAACGCACAGCCCGTCGACACCTGAGGGGCCACGGCCTCCCCCGCTGCGCTCTTAAGAGGGCTGCGCCCTGGCGCGCACTGCAGCGTCTCGTCTCGTCTCGCCTCGTCTCGTCTCGTCTCTCAGGAGGGACAGAACACACACACAGACACAATTCATCGTCGACTCCCAGGAAAATCTGGGGAAATCTGGGAAGTGGGGTGGGGGGAAGACAAGAAACTCGAAAATATGTGGAAATATGGGGCATCCTGGGATTTGTGGGCGAGAACGCAACGCAGTTTTGTTCGGTGTCACAAAAGCACCATTTCCCCCAGCCGCCCCGCCGCTGGCGCCGCGGTTCGCCGCGTTGCCTGTGGTGGGGCGGGCTGGGTTCGGTTGGGGGGGTGCGTTTGGGTTGCCTCGCCTCAGGTCTTCATGGACTTCGTGTTCCTCGTCTTGTTCGTGTTCCTTACCCACGTCTCCCTGCGGTGGGGGGAGGGTCAATATACCCCCGCGTCGCACGCGCCGCCCCGTGGGCGCTTTTCGGCCGAACGCGAGGCCGGCGCCCTCGGTGCGCGCGTGGTCGGGCCGCTGTAGCGGCTTTTGTTCCCCTTCACCCTTCGCCGCTCCTTTGGTTGGGGCGGGGCGCGGGGTCTCGCTGCGCCCGCGCGCTCCTGCGGGGAGCGGCGAGCGACGAGTGCGTCGCTCGCCCCCCGCGCGGGCGCGTGCCTAACCAACGAGCAGCGCCCCCCGCGCTCTCCCCCCAACCCTCGGGTTTTCCAGGGCAGCGTCTTTTGTGTCTATTCATGTATGTGTGTGTGTGTGTGTCCCTGGGCCACTTCAGTGTGCCCTGCTGGGCGCTCAGGCGCCGGCGCTCCCCCGGAGCAAATCTCCCTTCGGCGGGTCTGCCCCGCGGGCGGGCGCCCGGCCGCAGACAGGGCCAGCGCTCGGGCGCTGACGCCCTCGCGAGCGAGTGGCGTGGAGAGCGGTCTGGTCGGTCGCGCCTCAGCGTTGGAGGTCGACGAGGCTGGCGCCCACTGCTCACAAGACCTCCAGGCTTCGCAAGGAGAAGTCACGGAGGGGCCTCCCCCCCACAGCGTCGAGGAACGACTGCGACGACTCGTGGCTCATGAAGACAGGGCGGAGTGCGTGTGTGTGTGTGTGTGTGTGTGTGTGTGTGTGTGTGTGTTGCAGGACATTGTGACATCGTTGGTGCATTTAATTTTTGGTCTGGTCCTCCTCCTGCGCCTCGCCTCGCAGCTCCTCCTCGTCGCCGTCGTGTTCCTCCTTTCGCTCGTCGTCGTCATCGTCATCGTCCTCGCCGTTGGCCCCTCTGCCTCCCCATCCTCTGCCTCCCCCTCCCCCTCCCCCTCCAACTCTCCCACTTTTCCCTCCTCCTCACCCTCCTCTTCTTCCTCCTCCTCCTCCTTTTCCTCCTCCTCCTCCGCCTCCTCCTCCTCCTCGTCATCCTCCTCTTCCCTCTCATCCACGGCGTTCGGAACTCGCCCGCCGACCAGGGCTCGGCCCTCCTCCTGTGGATGGTCGGCCGGGGACCGACCAGCCGACCTCCTCCCGTTTGCGCAGGCCCTCGTCGGGGGCATCCCGAGCCTGGCCTCTCGCATGAGGACGCGCGCAGCCCCCGCCCCCCGCGGCCCTCCCAGGGGGCGGCCGGCCCGCCCGCCCGCCCGCCCGCCCGCGGCGGCGGCGAAGGATGGCGGCGGCGGCCACGGTGGCGGCTGCGGTGGCGGCCGCGGCGGTCACGACGGCGACGTCGACGACGCGGTTGGTAGCGGCGGCAGCGGCGACGTCGGCGGCTTCGCGGCGTTCGCGACGGCGGCGTCGATGACGCGGACGGCAGTGACAGCATCGGTGGCGACGGCGGCAGCTCCGCGGCCGCGACGGCGCCGCAGGAAGGGGGCTGGTGTTTCAGGCCTCTTGTTCCCAGCACTCCTGAGTTGATGGGCCCGTCTCTTGAATATGCAGCACCGCGCCCTACCTCCCACAGTTCATGACGAGCCCCTACCTGCGGTCCCCCAGTGGGCAAATTTGCATGCCGCCACCCCGCTCATTCGGCGAACTCTTGCACGTCTCGCGCTCCACAGTGGGCTCCACCGTCGGTCCCAGAGGGCAAGCTCGCATGCCGCCCCTCGCTAATTTCGGTACACACATTGCACGTTTCGTGCCCCAGAGGGAAGGGAGTTCCACCTACGGCGCCAGTGGGCAAGATCGCAGGGCGTCCTGCCGCTCATGTTGGCGCACCCATCGCGCTGATCGTGCCCCATCGGGAGCTCCACCTACGGCCTCAGTGGAAGAATTTTTGCGGGGGGCTCAGCACATCTGGTCCCCCCCCCCTCACTCGGATGCGCGCCCCTGCGCGCTTGTTCTGCATCCCCTTATCCGCCCTGTCCCGCGGCGGGCGGTATAGGCCGTGCACTCCGCAGGGCTGACTGATTGTTGGTATTTCCAGCCCTCTCTGGGCCTCGGGGAGCCTCCTGCGGCGCCTCCAGAGGCCAGGCTCGTGGGACTGGGGACTTTCTGTTGGAGAGGGAGATGGAGGAGGAGGAGGAGGAAGAGGAGGAGGAGGAGGAGGAGGAGGAGGAGGAGGAGGAGGAGGAGGAGGAGGAGGAGGAGGAGGAGGAGGAGGAGGAGGAGAGGAGGAGGAGGAGGAGGAGGAGGGGAGGGGGAGGAGGAGGGGGAGAGGGATGGGGGAGGAGGAGGAGGAGGAGGAGGAGGAGGAGGTGGAGGTGGAGGGACCCTGTGCTGACCCCGCGACTCTGCCTCGGGGACCTCCGACACCGCCGAGGTCAGCCCCCTCGGCCACAGGCCAAACCCCTGCCAGGGCCGAGCCCAGAGGCCAGAGGCTCTCCTCCCTCTCCTCCCTCTCCTCCCTCTCCTCCCTCTCCTCCCTCTCCTCCCTCTCCTCCCTCTCCCTCCCTCTCCTCCCTCTCCTCCCTCTCCTCCCTCTCCTCCCTCTCCTCCCTCTCCTCCCTGGTCCGATCGAGCCCAGTCCTTTAACTGTCATGCCCCGTGCCTCCTCGCCTACCTCGTTATGTGGTCGCCACGGCCAGTCTCGGCCCGAGATGGTGGCTCAGCGGGTACCGCGGAGGGTCCAGGGGCTGGAGAGGGCGCGCACGCAGGTTCGGGCCGCTTCGGTCACGTGGGTGCGCGGTGCCCCCCCCCCGCCCCCTCTGGGGGTATCCTGGTCGGAGATTGTCAGAGGTGATTTTGGCCCGAGGTGCCCCCAGCTTCCCGCGCCGTTTTGGACCCCCGACAGACAGGTGCGAAAGTTTCCTTAAATGGGGCACGTGCTATTCTTCAGCGAACCGCATCACTTGGCGAGGCGGCCTCCCTGGCGGCGGTCCAGGTCCTTTACCCTGGACGGCAGCTCGCGGCACAAGTCGTCGACGTAACAGGCGCAACTGATTTGCGCCGCGCAGGCCTTCAGCCGGGCGCGGTACGCCTCCAGGGTCTCCTCCCAACACTGGGACCCGCCGCCTGTCCTTGCCGCTGCGGCCGTGGCGTCAGCGATCCCGAGTCGGTGAAGGCCCCAAGAGGGGTCTTCACGTGCCCTCGGCAGATGTCTACTGGAAAAAAGAACGCAACATGAAACAATCGAACAGGTGCGACAGCGCGCGAGCGCGCTTTCTTTGGGGCAGCAGGAACCCTGTGAATTCACAAGGTCCCGTCACGCTTGCAACGTCGGAAACATCGTGGAACCATCGTGGAACCAAGCAGGAACCCTGTGGATTCATAGCGTTTCGTCACACTTGCTGCGTCGGAACCATCGTGGAACCATCGTGGAACCAAGCAGGAACCCTTTGAGTTCATAGGGTTTCGCCACACTTGCAACATCGGAACCATCGTGGAATCATCGTGGAACCAAGCAGGAACCCTGTGAATTCAAAAGGTTTCGTCACATTTGCGGCGTTGGAACCATCGTGGAACCATCGTGGAACCAAGCAGGAACTTTGTGAGTTCAGAGGGGTTCGTCACACTTTCGACGTCGGAACCATCGTGGAGCCATCGTGGAACCAAGCAGGAACCCAGTGCATCCATAAGGTTTTGTCACACTTGCGACGTCGGAGCCATCGTGGAACCATCGTGGAACCAAGCATGAACCTTGTGAGTTCACAGGGTTTCGTGACATGTCAACCTCTCGGAACCATCGTGAAACTAAGCTGGAGCCACCGCGGTCAGGCGCCGGACCGTATAAAAAGACAAGGATCGGCGATCGCGGGTTCGCCGCCCATGCTCCTATTACAGCACACATTGGAGGTGGTGCACGGCGCATCTACGCCTCTGCGCCCTGGAGCAGAGGGGTACCCTTAACTAGTATTATAAGAGGGCCGCTGGGCCCCAAGCCTCGTCCCCCCCGGCCCACGCCTGAACCCACCTCTCTGACCTCCAACCCGCCCCAATTTCCGCGCTCGAGATCAGACGCGCTTCACCTCCGCCTGCTTCCACGGCCCCGCCGCGCGTCTTCCGTGGAGGCTAGGCCCGCTCCTGCTCTCTAGGCGGCTCCTTCCAACAGCCATCGCTGTCACGTGCATCATCGATTCACCTCCGCCTGCTTCCAGCGCCCGCCCGCCGCTTTCCGCCGCGGGTTTCGATGCGCCTGCTACTCGCGTCCACGCATGGTTCTTTCAACCGAACAGCGCCGATGCAGCCATTCCCTGGGCCGCTTTTAGGCGGCACCCTCCGATAGCCTTCGCGCACGAAAAGTCTTCGATTGACCTCCGCCTGCTTCCAGCGCCCGCCCGTCGCCTTCCGCCGCGAGGTCGGGCACCTCCCTCCTCGCGCCGTCGCATAGCTCTTCAAGCCAAACGGCACCGACGCAGCCAGTCCCTGGACCGCTGTTGGAGCGCGCTCTGGCCAGAATTCCGACGCGAATCCAGCTGCGGCGACAGGGCCCCCCAAGGGCGAGCGGCGGACCAGCCATGTGACGTCGCATCGTGGCCTCGGCTGCCCGCGAGCCCGGCGACTCCGCGTCTCCTGCCCTGCCCCCCAGCCCTGGCCTCGTCTTCCCTCCGTGCCCGCTCCTCCCCAGGAATCAAATTTAAGGAACAATTCGCACCTGTCTGGAGGGGCGCTTTAGGCCTCGTGAGGGGTGCTCTGGATGCGATCTTGGCTTCCCTGGGAAGCTGGGGTCGATTTGGGCCAGAGCGACCTGTGGCAACACCCACCCCGACGCTGGGGGCGCCTCTCCACCTCGGCGAGAGCTGCCTGTGCAGCTCCAGAGCCGCAGTCGACGGCACCAGGGCGGGGGGCGTCGTACCAGCGCGGTCGCTTCTCGAGTGCCTCAGCGCGTTGTTGCGGCGTCTTTGTTTCGACCTTGAGCAGGGCTCGGCAGTCGTCGGAGGCAGGCACCAGGTGCCAGGTGGGGCAGTCGGTGTCTCCGACCCCGGGTCGTGGGCCTTCGTCGCGTACCGTCGCATCCCGTGTCGCGCTGTAGTGATGTCGAGTGACGGCGAACGCAGGTGTGCAAGATGCACAGGACATGGAACCAGCGTTCGGCGGCGTTTCGTCGGAGTGGCCCTCGTGCGTATACACATGTCTGTCTGTCTCTCTGTATGTCTGTATGTATGTATGTCTGCCTGTCTGTATGTATGTGGGTCTGTGTGTCTGTGTGTCTGTCTGTCTGTCTGGCTGGCTGGCTGGCTGGCTGGCTGGCTGCATGTATGTATGTCTGCATGTATGTGTATGTATATATGTATGTATGTATGCATGCATGTATGTATGTATGTATGGATGTGTGTGTGTGTGTATGTAGGTATGCATCTATGTATGTGTGTATGTATGTATTTATTTACGTACGTATGTATGCGTATGTCTGTATGCATGTATGTATATATGCATGTATGCATGCATGTCTGTATGCATGCATACATGCATCCATGTATACATGTATGCACGTATGTATGTTTGCATGCATGCATTTATGTGTATGTAGGTATGCATGCATGCATGTATGCATGCATGCGTGCGTGCGTGCCAGCATGCATGCATGCATCGATGTAGGTATGCCCGTATGCATGCATGCATGCATGCATGCATGTTTGTTTATATGTATGTATGTATGCGTGCATGTATGCATGTATGCATGTATGCATGTATGCATGTATGCATGTATGCATGTATGCATGCATGCATGTATGCATGTATGCATGTATGTATGTATGTATGTATGTATGTATGTATGTATGCATGTATGTACATATATATATGTATGTATATATTTATGTATGCATGTACGTATGCCTGTATGTATGTATGCATGTATGTATGCATGTATGCATGTATGTATGTATGTATGTATGTATGTATGTATGTATGCGTGTATGTATGTGTGTATGTATGTATATATGTAATGCATGCACTACATACATGTATGTATACATGCATGCATGTATGCATGCATGTATGCATGTATGTATGCATGTATGTATGTATGCATGTATGTATGTATGTATGTATGTCTGTATGTATGTATGTATGTACGTATGTGTGTATGTATGTATGTATGTACGTATGTGTGTAGGCGTGTGTATGTACGTGTGTGTATGTGTATATCCATACATATATACTTCTATGTTTGTATGCTTGTATATTCGGTTGTTTGTTTGTA